GGAGGCAGCTGGATCACAGCTGTTGGCAGTGGTGACATCTGTAGCCGTATGGTTGGGTCATGGTGCAGAGCTGCTGGGAGCTGCTGAGGACTGTTTTGGCTGGTGTGGGGATGGACACGGGCATCCCCGGCTGCCTCTCCCCTCTGCCAGCCCTGTGACTGTGCAGGGCCCCCCCAGCTGGCCCTGCTCGCTCTGGTGTAAGGATGGGACTCGCTGCTGCCGTGCCCCCCCCTCCATCCCCAGCAATGCCGTTCCGGCCGCACTGCAGCTACGAGAGCGGGGGGCTGGAAAATGTGAAGAAGAGGAAAAGTTTCTCCACTGGCAAGAAGTGGCTGTTAGTCTTAGTTTTGTTCTTGGTAAAGCTAGTGCATAGCCTACTGTAAAGAAGCTTTGGTCCTATTTATTTTAAGGTCTCTTTTATTTTGGGGTGCTCCCCTGCAAAGTCACCTCCCCGCAGCTCCCTGGCTCGGTGGGTGCTGGGGGGCTCTGTGGTCCCACATGCCGTGGGTCCTGCTGGCGGGGTGGGGTGGAGGCTGCGGTGACAAATCCCCTCGGAGAGCGTCGCAAGGTCAGGCGCCCGCCGGGAGCGGGAGCTGCCATCTTCTGCCGTGGCTCCCCTCCTCTCCCAGCTGCAGAAGCCCTTCACCTCGCTGAGAGCTCCCCGGTACCCTGGTTGCACTTCTGGAAAATGACATCCTGCGTCTCCCTCTTTTTGTTGGTGTTTGTTTGTTTGTTCAGCACTATTTCTGGTTCTGAGAAATAAAGTGACAATGATACGTGTTAACTGTAAACCCTCTTATGGATTAATATTTCTTTTCAAAACCTGTATCAAAGCCCGCTCCTAGATAGCACTGTATTTATTTAATGGCTGTGTGGATAGTGTGCGAGCATGGGGGCAGGCTAGCTGTCCCGTGACCCCTGGAATAGCTGATGCAGAGGCAGCTTTCCTGGCTGCTGGGCGCAGCCGCTTCTGCGAGCCCCGTAGTCGTGTGCATGCGGCAGTGTCGAGGCAACCCGACCGTAGACCTTCATCACGTGTTTTTTTTTAAGTAAAAAAAAAAAAAAAAAAAAGCATCTCCTATTTATGTGCTGTTAAGTAGCATGTGTTCGACCCATGGAATCAGCTGTTAATCTCGTGGATGAAGTAACTTACCCTGGCTCTGAGTGTAATGTTTAGATCTAGAGTAGATGAACCTGGACACTTGTCAACCGGCTTTAGGAAGGGGGTTTTCACCCTGGAATGTGGAAGCAGCGTATTCACTGGTGGTGTGCTCATGGGGGTGTGGAGGTATCCCACGGTCACCGACCTCAGGTGGGTGGGGGGCACAGCCCCGCTGCGGCAACAAAGCCCCCCTCGGATCTCTCTGCCTCCTGTAAAGGGAGTTACCATCAGCAAGGTGGGGACGAGCAGTTTGCTTTCTGCTGCCCAGTGTGGTGGTTGATGTGTCTGTATCCAAGTGTCTTGTTCTCTCCCTCTTGTCTTCTCCAGGACCAGTGTTCTGTAAACCTGAGAGTGTTTTGTATTTCTTAGAAAAATGCAGAACTTGTGATACTGAAAAGAACGGTGCAAACCCAATACCTGATTAAACTGGTTCCCTGTTGAATGCTGTCAAATGTGCTGTGTCTTGTCACCTCACCAAACCCATGGAATCTGGCAGGCTCTGGTGGCAGCTTGTTGTCTGGGCTCAGTTTTCTCCAAGTGGAAGGACTAGTAAAACACCAGACAGGACCGCTGCTAGGCTGTGTTTGCCCTTCTCTCAGACAAAGAGTCTTTTCCTATCCTGGGAGCAGATAATACTGTTGTCTGGCTCTTCTCCCTGCTACTGGAATGCCACATTGCCTGATTGCTCTGTCACCAGTGCCAGGAAGCCTCAGTTGCTCCTGGCTGGATACAGCAGAGGAAGAGTGAGGCTGGACCAGGACCCTCCCCAGTCCTGGAGATGTTTTCTCCTCCCAATGGGCTCCTCCAGGACCCTCTGGGTGACCTTGCAGATAAGTAGGCAGAGATGAGAAAAACTGATCCTGAAGGGAAGGGAGTAACCTGGAGATAGAAGACTGTTGCTTTCATACCCTCTCCTTTGTTGGACATTGCCAGTTTGCTGTCCTGGTGGCTACTCTGCAGACCAGCACTGCTCTGCTTGGGTTCTGGGGAGGAAGGGTTGTGGGAAGCTTGGACAGTTCCCAATGGGGTCACGGTTGGGTGCTCGTTGGTCTGTGCTGGGCTGTGGGAGGTGTGGGGCTGGACTGAGGGTGCTGGGCTGGTCTCTGGGGCAGCGTCCTGCCTGCTGCCCTGCCAACCACACTGCCAGCACTCCAGGCAGGAATAAAGACAGTGGGGCTGCTCCTGAGGAGCTCTGCAGCCACCCTGGCTGTTGTGTGGCTCTGCCCAGGATGGTGGGGTGATGTGGGCACTATGGCTGGGTGCTGGTGGCATATGTAGTGCCCTCAACACTGAGCTCCAGCCAGGGTCTGAGCTTCCTCTAACAGACATGACGGACCAGCTGGGAAAGCTGGGCTGTTGGGAGGCAGACTGAAGGAAATCCTGTCGCACCAAACATTGCTGAAATGCTTGGCCTTTATCACCTCATGAACCTCACAGCTGAACACCATCGTGACCAGGAGAGTTGAAAGTCTTGATCTTTACTAGAAAGCTGGAGTGGACATGATCACCTTTAATCCTGCAGCTCCAGAGACTGGTCTTGTAGCTTTCTGGAGCCAGTGTTGCTGGTCCTGGCTCTCTCTTCCGAATGCTTCATAGCACCAGAGCAGCCGAGCTCATAAAATGGGAAGGACTTGGCTCAGCAGAGGCTTCCCAGAGGCCAAGCAAGCCTGGAAGTGTCTGCTGATCTGTGCTTCCCTTAAGGAGAGGGCAGGGGGGCTGCAGGATTCTTGCTCTGCTTCCTTGGGTGCCTGAAGGTGAGACGAGCGCAGACCTGGAGCTGCAGCTGCCTGCTGTGGGAGGCTGCTGTGCATCTTGCCACGTGCAGCAGAGCCTCTGCCAGCTGAGTTCCTCAGCTCTGGGACTGGCTTTGTTTGGGTGATGAGTCACTGGTCCTTGGAAGTCCTCAGGGCTTGGGTTTCTCTCCAGAGCCTGGCCCTCCTGGTTGGCAGCACCCCTGGCAGCTCACTGGGGGGATGATCCAGCATCGCAGTTCTTGGCATCCCAACCTGTGAGGTAAGACAGGTCCAGCTGGGCTGGCACGGTGTGTCATCCTGGTGCTGTCCCTGTGCTGGGCAGCCAGAGGCCCCCTGCCTTCCCCCTGCCCTTACCTGCCCACAGGAATGCCCTGCTGGTTTACCTGGAGGGGTGGTTACCTGTGGCCACTGTTTGCCTCGCAGGTGAGTGCCAAGGGGAGCTGTGCCCTGAGATATGGTTGGTTTGACCAACCACGGAGGGTGACCCCCCTGCTCCAGGTATAACTCTGCCAGCCTTCCCAAACCTGCAGTGTCAGCTGTTCTCTAAGGACACAAGCTGCAGGTCGGTGCTGGAATGCAGCAGCTCTCTCCTGGGACAGCACCAGCTCTCTCCTGGGACCTGAGGTTGTGGGCAGGCACCCAGGCTTGGTGTGGAATTTGTGTAAGCAGTAGGATGGTGGCTGGCCTCTCCTAAATGCAGACCTGGAGGGAGGCTGTAGCTTCCTGGAGCAGAGCAGAGCATTGCTGGTTTCTTCTAGCAGCTTTCTCTTGCTGCATTTACAGGATGGACCTCGCTTCAGGGAGTAAAACTTTCTTCCCTTCTCCCTGCTGGTTCTCCAAGGGGCAAAAGGATAAAGGAGCTGGCCTGGGCCCTGGAGGAAGGGGCTGCTCCTTTCCCAGGAATGCTGAAAGGCCCTGCCATGGCCTCATGTTGTGGCTGTTCCCAGGCACCGCTGGCTGCTGTCCTTCTGTCCCCTCCTCATGGGGATGGCTGTGCATGGGGCTGATCCATGCTGTGTTCCCCCAGCATCGGGAGCATGTTGATGCTCTGGGCACAGCACCTCGCCAGGGCTGCAGCAGCTCTGGGGCTTCATTGAAACTGCTTGATACTGCTGGGGGCAGCGGGGCAGGGCCCTTGTGTGAGGCTGGTATTGATGGTTTGGGTGAGGGCAGCATTGCCCTGCTGTGGTTTTAACCACAGCTGGCCTGGGGGTACCGTGCACCCACAGCCTGGCCTGCAGCAGGGATCCAACTTGGGGGCTGCTCTCCCGTTCCCTCTCTCTCCTGCAGCCCCGAGGGTCCCGGAGCGCAGAGGGCGATGAGCCGGGTTGAGGGATGAGCCCTCCCGCAGCAGAACAAGATGGCCCAGATCCCTGCTGGGATTTATGCAACCTCGCCGGGTGCTATAAATAGGCACGGCCGCGGGGGGCTCCGGCGCTCCCCCCGCTCCGCTCCTGCCGCGGGGACCCGGCCCTGGGGGCCGTTCCAGGCCGAGGAGGCAGGTGGGGGTGAGCCCTGGGAGCTGCCCCCGCTCCAAGCCGGCTGGGGCGGGGGTCTGTGCTGCGGGTGCCCCCCGGGGGTCCTCGGGGAGCTCAGCTACACAGCACCGCGCTCCTTGCTCGCCTCCATGGCAGAGCACCTTCTTCCCTCTGCTCCTGCCCTTCCCCTGGAGGGGATCGCGGGCTCTGGCGCATCAGCACCCGCCGGACCCCCGGCCAGCGGGGACCAGCCCTCCCCGTCCCCGCCCGCTCCCCGGCGCCTGCAGGGAGCACACACGCGTCAGCGGGGCGGCGTTTTGTAACAATTTATTTGAAACGACGATAAATGAAAAGAACAAAAAACAAAGAAAAACCCAAAAAAAGACCCCGCTAACCCGACCCCTCCCTCCCCCCCCAGACCCATACAAAAACATCGAAGGCCATCGCAGGTGCGGCCGGTGGCCGCCAGGCGGCGCCCGCTCCCGCGCGCCGGGCCGTTGCCATGGCAGCGGGGGGCGCCACGGGCCGGCAGAGGGCGCCGTATCCCTTCGGGGCGACCGCGAGCAGGCACGGGGCGCGCGCGCGCGCTCGGAGGGAAAGGGGGTGGGGCCAAGCGCGCGCGCTCGGCGGGAGGGGCGGGGCGGGGCGCGCGCGGGCGGCGGGAGCGGGACCGGCCCACGTGGCGCGGGGGGGGCCCCGCCGCAAAATGGCTACTATGGAAACCGGGCGGGAAAAATCCCTGGGAACAACCGGGCAGACAAGGGGGAGCGGGGGTGGGGGGGCCGGGAACCGTCTACAGGCGGGGAAGGGCACGGCCGAAAACAAAAGGGCGCGATCGGGGAGAAGCCGCGGTGTGGGATGGGGGGTTGGGGTAGAAAAATAAGGCGGCAGAGAAGGGGAAGGGGGGGGCCGGGGCGGCCGCAGCCCCGCTCACCGCGCACGGCGGCGGCTGCGGAGCCGAATCAGCAACACAAAGACAAAGCGGGTCCCCTGGGGTCTGTCCTCAGAGCAGTCTGTGCCGCGGGGCTCAAAGTCCGGGGGGCGGCGCGGGGCTCCCAGCGCCCCGATCTCATGCCTTCCGGCTCTTGAGCGCCTTGGGCTTTGCCGACTTCTTCACCTTCTTGCCCCCGGGAGACGCGGCTCCCTTCTTGGTGGCTTTCTTGGCTTTGCCCTTGTCCTTCTTCGCCGCCGCGCCGCCGGCTCCCTTCTTGTGCGATTTCTTCTCGGGCTTCTTGCTCTTGGCCGCGGGTTTCTCCGCCCGCCGGGACGTGGAGGCCGTCGCCTTCTTGTGGGACTTGTGGGCGCTGCTGCCCGCGCTCCCCTCGCCGCCGCCTTCCAGCTTCTTCCTGTTGAGCTTGAAGGAGCCGTTGGCGCCGGTGCCCTTGACCTGGAGCAGCGTGTCGTTCTGTACCAGCGCCTTAATGGAGTACTTCAGGTAGGTCCTGCCGTTCTGCTGGTCGAACCAGGCCACCTTCTTGGCCTCATTGTAGATCTTGGCTAACGAGGAGCCATTGCGCTCGCCCAGTTTGCGGATCGTCTCCACCACCAGCTGACTGTATTTGCCGGGCTGATTCTTCTTCTTGTTGTTCTTTCTTTTCTTCGACGGCGACAACGAGGAGCCGGAGCCGCCTCCTTTCGCCTTCCTAGCGGCTGCTTTCTTCTCCGGGGAGAGCGGTGCCTCTTCCGCCTCAGTCAGGGGCAGATCGGCCTCTTCCAGCTCTACCGACATGGTGTGGGGGGCTGCGGGCCGGAGCG